TGTAATTCTTACTTTGTAAGTTAAATTAGCATAGAATTAGAGTGCGACTACACTGTAGCAAATAGGAATAATAATAATAATAATAATAATAATAATAATAATAATAATAATAATAATAATAATAATTATTATTATTATTATTATTATTATTATATAAAAATTAAATAATATTATAAATAATTTATAATTTATTTAAATAATTTTTTAAGTTAAAAATTTATTTATCAAATTTTAATTATTAATTAAACATTTTTATAATTATTACTTTTGAAAAAGCAAAACTTAATAATTATAGAAATAATATAACTATAAAAAGAATTTTTTTATTATATTTATATATAAATGAAAAAGCAAAGTAGAATGACTATTATTATAAAAAGATATGACTATAAAGAGATTTGATTATAATTTGAAATTGATATTAATTTTAAATTATATTATTTAGAATTTATTTTTTAATTTTCAAACTAATTTTACCAATTTGGAAAATAATTAATTTTATAATTTGAATTTCAATTTTAAATACAATTATAATTATTTAATAATAAATTTATAATTATAAAAAAGATATAATTTAAAAAATATCAATAAAAAATTTTGACATGCTATTATTTTTATCTTAATATAACAAATTAATAACATTTTAAAGTAAATTTTATTGGCACTCTTTAGACTGTCTGTATTATTAAATAAGAATTAATTGATAAACTTCTTGATTTGCATATAAGATCTTTGGTTATAAATAGTATTTTTGTTCCAATTTACATTCTGAAAACATAATTATATCTTATAAATATATCAAATAATAAAACCTTGTTCTAATTGAGAAACATTGTTTAGAATTGGATACTACTTATAACTGGAAGAATATTTTCTTGATGTAATAGTGATAATGTTATATTACATGAAAAATTACAGTTAATTGCGAATGTCACATGTTTATTATTTATCCAGACAATCGTTATTCCAAATAAGAATTGTTACATGAATGTCCAAATTAGAATTTGGGGCAAATTATTTTCTGATTTCAACATTTTAAGAGAAAAAAGTCCTTTTTTTCGAAGAAAAGCATCAAATCTTACCAATTTCAGAAAAGGCTCATTCAAAAATGGAATGCTTTGGTGAAACAGAAAAAGATAAACACAAAGAGATGGCTACTCCCATTACGGCAGTTCCCACGCGAAAACCCTCTCTTTTGAATCAAAGCTTCCTGAGACCAAAGGAGAGGTCACCAGAAAACGTGTCTGCTCATAAAGTAAAATTGCTGCGGACGATAAAATTAGCACTAGTATATTGACCGTATATATTATCACCTTTCTACTACATAAAAAATATTGTAATATGTCGTCGTCGATAACTCCATCAATTCCGTCAGCCACCACTACTACTACAGAACCTTTTTCAGGTCGCTCGCTTACACCGCTCGAACCTCAACACGCTATTCCATCTTATTTAACAAGTCAAAGACGTGGCTCAATCACAGACCCTTCCCTTCATTTGTCCGTACCTAACCCAGAATTAGCAAGAAAATACTCGCAACCAGATGTTAATTTCCAAAATTCAAATTCTTCAGAACGACGCGGATCTTTTGTAGACAATTTTCCGCCTTCGTCATCGTCATTTTCACGCCCTTCTTCTATAAAAAGTGAACAATCGTTTTCTCCTATGGAGACGCGTAAATTAAGAGATGCTTTGCCTTCAATTAGTGCAGGAGCAAGTCCTATAAAAGACGGTTTCCCAGGACCTTTAATGAATCCTGCGTTTCAAGCTCAAATACAGCAAAGGCGGCATTCTATTGCAGTCGGTGAAACCTTTTCACCATTAAAACGAAAGCCTTCTTTGAATACGCCCGCAAATCCTATTCATCCTCTAAGCCCCGAAGAATATCCCGGTAAACGAAGAGAGTCATATTCAGATCCTAATATTCAACGATTATCACTTTATGATCGTAGAAATTCTTATTCTGCGCCATCAAGTCCCCCTGCACCATCACAAAATTCTCTTGCCTCTCAAAGCAGTTCGTTACCAAAGCTTAATATTAATGAAGTGGATACAAGCTTACAAGAACATGTAGATGCATGTGGTATTAATCAATATGGGGACATTGTAATATCCGACCTTCACACTTCATCCAACATTGCATCATCTCATATTAATGGCGGAGGCGGTGAACACGGAGAATCTTCACTTACATTTTCACCGTTTAATCCTCGTGTTTCTCAACTTGTACAGGATGAAATTAGTAGCACTCCAGTCCTCACTCGACGTGCTTCAATGCCCGTCATGACTTTTCCTTCACGATTTAATGACACAGTAGGTCCACAAGATCCATCATCTATTCCAATGGACGTAGATCGTTATCGTGGACAATCTGGATATGCATCTCATAATCATTATCATCATCCTTATCCTTATGATTATCCTGGTTATATTCAACCGAATACCCCCGTAAAAGAAACTCCATACTCTCGTTCACCTGAATTAAGAATTTCTCATAAATTAGCCGAAAGAAAAAGGAGAAAGGAAATGAAAGAGTTATTCGATGAATTGCGAGATTCACTTCCAGTTGATAAGAGTTTAAAAACAAGTAAATGGGAAATACTCAGTAAAGGTGACTATCACTTTATTACTATTATTATTATTATATCATAAGTTATGAATTTCTTATGTAACAATATAATTAATAAGTAATCCAATTTAGCTGTCGACTTCATCAATACATTAAAACAAAACCAAGAAGAAATTTCCAAAGAAGTTGAATCATTACGCCAAGAATTGGCAGCACTAAAAGGTGGAAGGTAAGAAAGTGAATCGAATCAAACACATTCTCTAGCATACGTTTCATCAGTAATTTACAATAACAACAACAACAACAATAATAATAATAATAATAGAAATAATAATATTTATCATCATCATCTTAATCACAAAGATAACATTTTTCTATAATTTTTATATAGTGATCTTAATACAAATGCTTCAACATCGTAATAATAATGAGAGAAAAATGGACTCTTCTTAATTATCTAACTGAATGGTTGATCTACCGATTATTTTTTGACATATGAATTGAGCCGGGTTAATCAAATTGTATTTTTATTTAAAAAAAAACTTGTGAACCAGAACCTTTATAAATAAATTAGAACAGATTTTGATTTTTTTTTGTTTATTATTATTATCATTAAGTTCAGAAATTTGGGTTCAGAGGAAAAATTAAAGAATCACGCGGAAATTTTTGGTAATTTATTATTACATGTATACTTTTATATATAGCGATAGTAAGCGGATGATTGATAATATTAATTTCTCTATAAAGTATCACTGGACAATCCATTCGTTTTTTGAGACTGTTTATTAAATTGACAATTATAACGATAACAATATAAATGACAATCAAATCACATGTAATATGTCAGACAATCAATCTTTCCATAATTCAGATTTTTCAATTCTTCAGTCTTTTTTACAAACTAAATGTATACAACACAGATAGATACATAATTGGAAAGATGTGAAGCCGACTCGCATGAAACAATAGAGATGATCAATGGTATTGTGTAAACTGATCTTTATCTTACCTGCTTTGTGATCTTTACGGTAACGTTTTATCACTACATCTTCATTGGCTGTGGTTGGGATTGTGCTTTAGTGAGTTCAGCTCTACAGAATCAAAGAAAATGTGGGATAAATCGCTGCATTTTCTTTGTATTGTACAATATAATTGGTTGAAAGATGTTGTATGAACCTTAATTGCGTCGAGAAATCATCTTCCACATCTTCATCATCCCAATTATCTTCCCATAATTTCGTTTCTTTATCATCTTCAGTTTCATTCCAATCTGCATAATATTAAAAATGTATAATTGATTATGAAATTTTATTTAGGCAAAAGTCATATTATTTTTGATAAATAAGGATCTTTTCATATTTTGAATGGTTAAAATGAGAATCTCGCTTTTACCTTCTGCAGCAAATTCCTCAAATTCGTCATCTTCTTCTAATGCTCCAAGTTGTGGTATTGGTTCTTTTTGCTGCTGCTGCTGCTGTTGCTGCTGCTGTTGTTTGTTACTAGAGTCCGTTTTATCAGAGGGTTGATTTGTCGAAGAGGTAGAAGAACCTCCGGGATTAGAAGAAGACATTTGCGTGATTGTATGTGTGTGTGTGTAATTTCTAGTTTATGTATATTGTATATTGAAGAAAAATCTGTAGTTAGGACAATTTTTAGTTTGAAAGATTGTATCCAAATAAAATCGTGTACATTTCAACAATATATCACGAATGTGCATGGAAGTGTGCCGAAAATTACCATATGGGGGAAATAGTGCAACGCTTCAACTGCTACTTTTTCGTGTTATCTTGAATTGCCCAAAGTCTATTGTGATTTAGGGCTTTCCGAAAACACTAACTAATACTTCTCCTATTATACTGTCTACACTTTCCAACATGTCCTTTCTATCTAATTATTAACTACTGAAATTAACTTTCTGTGTTGGTTATTTTCTAATTCAACAAAAAATATATTAATTATTTCATTTTAGACTATTTTTTGTAAAACGTATTTCTCATTCGGCGTTCTGCTGCAACCCCCTGTTGCCCGTTACTATTATCACTATTGTATTTTCCATCCAATTCACATTTCTTCATCTCTAATTTATTTGCTGGGCTTCTTTGCCCGTCCGTGTCCACAAAAACAATTAGTTAAAGTTTGACCCTTAAAAGACTGCTACGAAAATGTCTGGAAACATTAAAGTCGTCGTCAGATGTCGGCCCTTGAATTCCAGAGGTTAGATGCAAATTTATACTGTCGTGTTGCTTTTGTTTTTAATTTTTGTTGAATTTTCGATGATGCTTAAAGGGTTTAATTGCATTTTTTGTTTCTTCCGAGTCATAATGTAAACTAAAACGTATTATACCTATAATAATCCCAATTGTGTAGAGCTTGCGCGGGGAGCAAAATCGTTAATTAGAATGGATGGGGATCAAACAATTATTTATAGACCATCAACGGATGATCCCGGTAATTCCAAAGCCTCCAAACGAGAAGATAATGATGAATTTAAATGTTTCACTTTTGATAAGTCATATTGGTCTGCCGATAAAAGTGCCCCAAATTACGCAACTCAGGCACATCTTTACAATGATCTCGGTGAAGAATTGCTTGACCATTCTTTCGATGGATATAATACCTGTATCTTTGCATGTAAGCAACGTGTTTTAAAAAGATAAATTTGGTTGAATTTGTTGTTCACTTGCTTCAATTTAAATTTTACAGATGGCCAAACTGGTGCAGGGAAATCTTATTCTATGGTAAGTCATAAAATTATTAATCAGCAGTTATACAGTTGTCACCTGACTTAACTTTTTAACTGGAAATATTGCACGAAAACCCATTAATACGTTTGTGTTTATCTAAGCTTCGATAAAATAATAATTACAGTGAATCTAATTAATTTTTATATTTTTTCAGATGGGTTATGGAGAAGATAAAGGAATTATACCCTTAACATGTTGCGAGCTATTTAATCGGATCATAGGAAATACAGATCCCACTGTAAAATATCAAGTGGAGGTCTCATATATTGAGATTTACAATGAACGGGTTCGGGATTTACTGAATCCAAAAAACAAAGATAAAAATCTTAAAGTGAGAGAGCATCCTTCACTAGGACCATACGTCGAAGATTTATCGAAGTTGATTGTAAAGTCTTTTAAAGATATAGAAAATCTCATGGACGAGGGTAATAAAGTAAGTATTTCAGAACCTGACTAATTGCAAAAGATATTTAAATACAAAGAGAAAGAAATACTTAAAACATCGTTTATTATGATGTATTTTAGGCAAGAACAGTGGCAGCAACAAACATGAATGAAACATCAAGTCGTTCACATGCTGTATTCACACTTTTATTGACGCAAAAGCGGCACGACGCCCAGACCAATATGGATTCTGAGAAAGTTTCTCGTATTAGGTATGTATATATATATGCTTCACTTTATGCTGGATGAATTTCTTTTAACAATTTCCAATTTTTAGTCTTGTTGATTTAGCGGGTTCTGAACGTGCAAATTCTACGGGTGCCACTGGTGCGCGTCTGAAAGAAGGTGCAAACATCAACAAATCATTGACCACCCTAGGAAAGGTTATCGCTGCCCTGGCCGAGCAATCAGCCGCTCCAACAGGTCCCAAAAAAGGCAAAAAATCAGCAGAAATCTTTGTGCCATATAGAGATTCTGTAAGATATCATTAATGAAATTATAGAAAATAAATATTTTGTTTAAATAATTAAATTCCAAATATTTTATTTATATTATCTGAAATATTAATCAACAGGTTTTAACATGGTTACTAAAAGACAGTCTCGGTGGAAATTCTAAAACTGCTATGATTGCAGCAATATCTCCCGCCGACTATGATGAAACACTAAGCACACTACGATATGCCGACGCAGCAAAAAAGATTAAGAATAAAGCCGTTGTCAATGAAGATCCAAATGCTAAACTCATACGAGAACTTAAGGAAGAATTAGAGATGCTGCGCAGCAAAGTTGGCATCACCGATGGTGGTGGTGGTGGTGGTGGTGGAGGTACATCTGAATCTACATATGATCCTAGTATTCCTCCTTCGCAACAAATTGTTTTACTTCAAGATAAAGAAGGAAAGACGATTAAGAAAACTAAGGAAGAAATTATAGAACAGATTGAAGCTTCGGAAAAACTAATGACGGAAATCAATGAAACTTGGGAAGAGAAATTACGGCGAACTGAAGAAGTTCAGAAAGAACGGGAAAAGACATTAGAAGAGCTTGGTATAATGGTTGAGAAAAATGCCGTGGGAGTGTTTCCCCCGAAAAAAGTACCTCATTTGGTTAATCTCAACGAAGATCCACTCATGTCGGAATGCCTGGTTTATCAGATTAAACAGGGAAGTACACGTGTTGGACGCTTGGAATCCAATATCTCGGCTGATATTCGACTCAGTGGCGAAAATATATTAGAAGAGCATTGTTACTTTGAAAATAATGATGGAGTGGTTACTTTACATCCTAGCCAAAACAGTACTACGATGGTCAACGGAATCCGCATTAACAAGCCTCGAAGACTTAAGTCTGGTTTCAGGATTATTTTGGGAGATTTTCATGTATTCCGCTTTAATCATCCGGACGAGGTTAGACGAGAACGAGCAAAATCCAAAAATCTGAGCATCAGTATACCATATATGAATAGCAATAATAGCGAAGAAGGTGGTAAAGCACCTGACTCACCCACATCAACAGCTTCTATAATGTCAGAGGCGGTCATAGATTGGAATTATGCAAAGAGAGAAGCGGCATTGAACTATTTGAATTTAGGACCTGAACTTGTTGGAAGCATGCCAGATGAAGATTTAACAAGATTAATGGAAGAGATACGAAAAATTCAGGGAGCTCGAAGAATTCGTCCAGATAGCCGGAGTGGCGACTTTGACGACGACACGGAATCACGTTCTTCTGACAAACCCGGATCAAATGGAACATATGAAACAAATGATACCGTCTACACGGATTCGCCTCAAAGTGACACGGACGATAAACTTCGAGTAATGAAGGAAGAGATGCAAATGCAACTAGATAGTCAAAAACAAGAATATGAAGAAAAAATGCGTCTTATAGAGGCCTCAAATCTTGAAGCTGACGAACTAAAAGCTGAGAAAAAACAAATGGAAGAAAAACTAAAAATGGTCAAAGAAGAAATGCAACGAGTTTTGGAAACACAAGCGCAAGAATATCAACGAAAGCTAAAAAAGCTATCAACTGCCAATATCGATGGTTTCCAATTACCACTTGATATGCCACCCTATACAGAGGAAGAACTTCAATTAATTCATATGGTCATAAAGAAATGGAAACGACAACGATTCGTTCATATGGCCGAAACAATATTAAGCAATGCTGTTGTTTTAAAGGAAGCAAACGCTATAAGCAAAGAACTTGGTAAAAAAGTTCTTTACCAATTCACTATTATTGAAGAGGAACCATTTACGAATCATGTTTCATTCTATGAGAACAGATCAATTACCAGCGGTAGCCAGCCAAATAACATCAGTTTCAATGGTAATGAGAAAGAAGGTATATCAATTTTCGTAAATGGATCCACCGAGGACACTTCTCTTCATGCCTCGAAGAAACCATGCGTCGGCGTCAAAGTAATCGACACAAAAAACGACGTAGTCTATATATGGTCGTTAGATAAACTGAAACATCGTCTCCAAAAGATGCGTAATTTATATAACTTTATGGATCGTCCTCAATATAGTGAATATTTTGATTGGGAAGATCCATTTTATGAAAATCCAGCTCCTCAATTCACATTTATTGGAAATGCTGCCATTGGGTTGACCTGTTTACTTTGGAAAACGGAACATGAACAAGAAGTTCCTGTTTTTCAAAGATATTCGGGTAAACAAGTGGGATTGTGCCGGATACGTATCAAATTTTTAAGTGAATCAAAAACTTCGTCACCATTAGAATCAGAAATTGAGTCCACTTCTTCTAAATTGTCAATTGGAAGTTCTATCACATTTGAGGTGAAAATAATCGAACTTAAAGGAATCTTAGAATCAGAATTTACCCAAGTTCATGTTCAATTTAAACTCTCCTCATTCGGAACTGTACCTCATCTTTCGCCCGGAGAAAATATTTTCACCACTGATCTAATGAGTGAGTTCGATACTACACCAATTCGATTCGATCACGAACAAACTTTGTCGGTGGCAGTCACACCTAAAATGATGGATATTCTCACTAATGATATGCTGCCTTTCGAGGTGTTTGGACGCGCGGGACCTACAGTTTTGGAACAGATGGGAAGATGGGATGATCCAAATGAGCGTCAAAATCACAAGGAAATAAATGGAGATTCTCATGAATCAACGCCACGAGAGCGAAGATCTGACGACGAACTTGTGGCCGAAGAAAAACATGACATCGTTGCATGGGTTAAAGTGTGTGAATTGGCACCTTCTGGTAAATATGAACCAGTTCAAGTACTTTCACAGAATGCACTTGATCCTGGCGCCTTTTTCTTGAGACAAGGTCTACAACGACATATTATTCTCACATTAACTCATAATTCTGGTCAGCAATTCCCGTGGAATCGAGTGTCAAGAATGGAAATTGGACGAGTTCGATTGCTTGACGGAAAAGGAAGATTGACCGAATTGCCCGAATCTTCAGTTCAAAATGATATTGAAATGAAAATGCTACCATCGCAAGCAGTGGAATTCAAAGGTGATGGCACAAGCATCCTTAGTGTTGAGGCCTCTTGGGATAGCACTCTACATGACTCGATATTCCTCAACCGAACAACCGACTCGAAAAGTCGAGTTCTATTGGGATTAACGTGGTACGTGGAAGCAGAGAAATGCGTGGAACCAATTTGCTTCAGCATGGATATTGCGGTGCAAATCCAGGGACGAGAAGCACGACCTCCGTCAAAACTAATTCAACTATTAAATCAATCAAAAGTTTTGGGGAAATCAAGCGGACTTTTCTCTGTTACACTCAAACCTCCAATGACTCGAAAAATTTCCGAACTTTGGCGCTTAAACACTGCATCGAAATATGTTCGTGGTGAAGAGTTATTGGGTGATTGGAAACCGCGTGGCATCTCTTTACTTAAGGACTTTAAAAAAATCAATGAGCACATACGAAAACGCGAAGCTGTTGAGTTCACGAAACAGGTCCTCCATTTACGTGACGGTTGTCAAAGTTCCAACGGCAAATATGTGTTTGGCACTTCGAATTCAAATGAGCTCGCTAAAAAAGCATGTGATTTGTGGCTTAAAAAATGGGGAACACCAAAAGAGGTTTAAAGATTAATTTATTATTGTATTTGATTTGGTTGATACTCTTTCGTTGTATGAGTGTTGCTAATCGAAGTATAATTGAATTTTCAAATAGATCGTCATAACTCAAGAACCTCCGCTTTCCGGGCCATATTCAGATGCTGAAATTAACAGATGCGCTAACGCCCCGACAAAATTGGTTGCTCAAGTTAGAATGGTTGGAAAAACGTAAGCTTTTCATTTCTCGCACATACTTTTGATTTTTTATAAAAACAACTAACTTTCCAGTTAATTATTATAGTGATACGATAACAAAAAAAGGCTATTTACATTCACCCGATTTATATTCACCCGATTCATATTCACCCGAAAATACTCATGTTGCTTGGGTAAAACGGTGGTATGTTTTAAGAAGGTAAGAACTCTTTTATGATTCGGTGAACATAATATGACAGCTTATTTGATTTCTCTATTAAATAAGTCAATAATAAAATTCGTTTGTTTTCTATTCTTAGACCATATTTATTTATATATGAATCACAAAAAGAAACAGAAGAACAAGGAGTAGTCAACTTAACATCTGTCCGGGTCAACTATCAAAAAGACGTGGAAAAGATGTTGGAGGTAGATTAAAATAATTTATTTTGTTCTTGTCATTATTTTGTTTGGACAACTTTATTTATGTTTGATTTTTTTTTTGATTGAATTGTTCAGCGACAATTTGTGTTTACTATTTTCACAAATAATAACTCGTATGTTCTACAAGCATCTTCTAAACAAGATATGGTCGATTGGATATCGAAGGTACTTTTATTGTTTCTTAATAATTTCAATTATTGGTTCAACGTAATAAAACACGCCAGAAAATTCAACTAATATTATATACATTGCGTCTTACTAGATTGACCAGTTTTTCAACGTAGAAACTGATATTTAAAAAATTACCAAATTTTTCAACGTAGAAACCCAAAAGTCACTACACAAATATAAAAAGATGGGAAATATCTATATATATATATATATATATGCTTTTATTTTTTATTAATTGTGGGTAGGAGGGGAATCGGCGTGGCGGATTTTTCTTTTTATACCATCAACTACCTACTTATTACTATTAGGTAAAAAAATTTGTTTGTATCTATGGCCTCGGAATAAGCCTGTGTAAATTAGTTTAACACATAGAATTATTATTATATGTTTATATAAATAAATAAATTATACAATTTATATATAATGTTTTATTTATGTGTCAGTTATTTTTTTCTAATATTCTATGTATAAACAATAAAAAGAAAAACAATAAAAAGATGAACACACAAAAAAAATACGTTCATTATTATAATTATTCTTTTTTCTTCACAATAACCGCATCATCAACCGCATTCCAATAAACAACCATCTGCAAAGCCAAAACAGCATTAAAAAGCGTTGCCAAACTAAAACCAGCCAGAATAATCGGATCATGAACTTCGGTAATAGTAGTGAAAACTCTAGCCATCGATCCAAGAGTATACCCAAACACTGCAAACGCCGAAAGTTGTCCAGTGCTCCCATTCGTATAATTCTGTATGATCTGTGGAATCTTTGCAGCCAACGACAGAGGGATCGAGCATGCCTGCAAAAAGGCCAACAAAGAATCATTGATCAGTGATGACGAATTTAACGCATAACTCATCACGACAATAGACAAGCCGGCAACGACGAGACGATCCGCTTGTCCTCGATATTTCAGAATTAACAAAAGTATGATTATATTTTGTATTGTCAAGAAAAAGCTTTCCCCGTATGTGCTGAACGGGTTGCCTTGTCGGAAATTGTAGGCTAACCCTACTGCATATGCTATTGTCTCGAGTACATAGCTTTCAAAACTTAGCCCGCGTGCTGAACCATTAGCTATAATTTTTAAAACTTGTGGCAGTTTTATTAGTGAACCTCCTAGCACAATACCGATTCCGAGTGCTTTGGAGAATACTAGTTTTGTACATTGTGTGTCACTGATATTGAGGTTTGTGATAAGTGAGTTGTAGCATTCTTCGCCTATAAGGGCAAAGACTGGTTCTTGAATAAAAGATGGAAGAATCATTTTTGTCATGTAACATTTCCAGCACAGTGGACTTTCTAATTTATCACACATCTGTAGATCTGTAACACAAGGATCGACTAATCATTTATTAACGTTAATTGATATCCCACTTTGGGTTGTTGATTTATGTTGTTAAACTTTTGAGTTGTCATTAGTAAAGGAAAAGTTCTCGGAATTGAAAGAAAAAAATTTTTTGTTAAAATAAGTTCTATTATAAGAAAAGAAAGTCAAGTTGTTTCTAAGGTGGGGAGGGGGGTTATTTTGACAGTAAAAAGGATAAAAGCAAAGTTTTCGTTTGGTACAGATTTGTTCTCGGGGTTTCTTTTTTTGGGGCGGGAGGAGTCAAGTGTTTTCTATGAGTCATAAAGGGGGGACGTGATGTAATGTCACATATCATCCTTAACTAATTTAATTGCGTTACACGATTAGCATGCGTGAGAATAATCCCAAAAAGAACAATAGTATTGTCGATACCTGAGACTTCATTTAGTATCGGGCTATACGATACACCAACTTATAGTTAACTCGATGGATATTGATATATATACACATTATGATGAGAATAAATATCTTTTTTGCGCTTTTACAAGTCTCGAGTATTTTTCATTTAGATAAATATAAGTATCCAATTTAATCGATTGATTAAAAAATATTTAGGCAATAGGAAAAAATGTCCACAGAATACAAATTTCTAAAGAGCAAAACAGTTGGACTTATCGGTTGTCCATTCAGTGGTGGTCAAGTTTGTATCAATTTGTATCAATAAACTATTACTAGCAATTGAATCGGCAATTATGTTAATCATTATAATTTGAAAAAGTCAAAAAACGGAGTTCAAAATGGCCCGGTAAGACTTGTAGAATACGGATTAATCGAACAACTGGCAGAAATGAACTGGAAGGTTGAATTCAGTAATCAAGACCACTTACAATCACTAGAACCGAAAGATGATCCGGATATTGGTAAGCTAAAGAGACCTCGCTACGTTTCTGAGGTAACAAGAAACGTCGCGCAAGTTGTCCAAGATCATGTAAAAAAAGGGAATTTAGCACTCACCTTGGGTGGTGATCATAGTCTCGCTATGGGTACCGTATTTGGTACATTCTCTGTACATCCGGACGCGGTTCTTATTTGGATTGACGCTCATGCTGTAAGTAATCTTTTATTTGTTATGCTCATCATACTTTGTCATATATCATTTCCATTAATCGATCGATCGATCGATCTGAAGGATATTAACACACCAGAAACAACCGAATCAGGAAACATTCACGGTTGCCCAGTATCATTTCTAATGGGCATTGCCGGAAACGTACCCGGCTTTGAGTGGTTAAAACCAGTATTGAAATCGGATAGATTAGTTTATATTGGTCTTCGAGACATTGATCAACCGGAAAAAAACATCTTAAGAGAACACAAAATCGCAGCATATTCTATGCATGAAGTTGATAAATATGGTATTGGTAAAGTGGTGGAAATGGCTTTGGATCGTGTTAATCCAAAACGTGACCGTCCGATTCATCTTAGTTTTGATGTTGATGCCTTGGATCCTAGTGTCGCTCCCAGTACAGGTACAAAGCGATCTTTCTTATCAATATTTAAGACTATTAATTAACAGCTGAAATATCGAAATTTATTTAGGCACACCTGTTCGTGGGGGTCTTACATTCCGAGAAGGTCATTACATATGTGAAGCGATTCACGAAACTGGTTTATTGGTAGCAGTCGATTTAATGGTATGAATTTCATTTAATTTATTCGACCTTATATAGAGGTGAATTTGCTTCTAACCTTTATTGAAACTTGACAGGAAGTAAATCCATCATTAGATGACATAGATGACGTGAGCGTATTTGAAACAGTCACTGTTGGGTGTTCTTTAGTGCGTTGTGCATTAGGTAACTTGAGTTCTTGTCATTATCTTTTTTTTAACTTATTGTGACACCAAAATAACCATTAATTTTTTTTGACTTATTGTGATACCAAAACAATTAATTTAGGGGAAACTCTATTGTAACTTTTATTTCTGCAAATTTATATTAGATTTTACTATTACCAAAATATTTTATTAGATTTCATTAAATAATATAAATTACATATTTAGCTGTGGTGACTTTGCACCTATAATCATATATCAAAAACTTTAACCACTAATTTACGACTTTCCGAATTGCAAATTTCTTAGAACAAATATAACAAATATTCAAACTTTGATTTAAATTAAATAATTTTAATTAATATTTATAACGATACAAATGGAAATCAGATTCTTTAAAATATAACCACTTGTTATATCGATATAGATATGAAAATCGAATGTATTGTATACTTCAACATAATCGATTTGAAGATATATGCATGTGAAGAGCTAAAAAATCAAGATATTTTGCAGTACCCCCTCTTTGAAGAAAATTTAAACCTTAATTTAGCTTAGCACAAAAAATTGAAGAAATCGTACGATTTATTCATTTTGCATAAGGTTTTATTAAAGAAATCAGACTAAATTAAGGTTTAAATTTTCTCCAAAAGTAGATAAAATTTTAGGTGTATTGAAAAGCCTTTTGGTCTGCAATTGATTCTTTAATGATATTTTGAATTTATTTTCAGCTCGAGATTCTTGCTTCAGGTTCATTGCAATTTTTTGAATAATATATTTGACATTATTGATTTCATTTCACAATGTAAAAGATTGACATTCTACAAGCAATTAAAGTTTCATTTAAATCAGCTTCACATTTCTTAAAAGATAAATTATAATAGGGAATTTGTAGAAGCTTTTTATTGCATTATGCCGAATTCTAAAATCTGTTAATTTCATGCAAATCTATTGGAAATTTTTATTTAAAGATCACAGATACCCCAGTTTTCTTAAAAAATGGCTAGACGAAAGGTAGGCAAGTAGTTCTGAAATGGAGCGCCTATTTAAAGGTCTTTATATTATATTTTAAAATTCATGAACGCAGAAAAAAAGAACTCATGTCAAAGTCGACGAAAGCGCCAACCCGAACGCGCCAAAAATACCAAAGAGTTTTGTAATAAGGTCCGGGGAAGTTGGGAAAACGGTAACTGCTTTAGTGCAAGATATGCGTAAAGTTATGGAGCCCAACACGGCCGTACGACTTCGGGCAAGTTAAGAAATCGATTTGAAATGTTTATCTTGAATTCGCTAAACTAATAAAAAAACAATAATAAAATAGGAACGCAAAAATAACCGTCTAAAAGACTTCTTATCAGTAGCTGGTCAATTTGGTGTAACACATTTCCTGATATTTACTCGCACCGAATACGGGACAAATTTAAGGATTGCTCGGTCGCCTCGAGGTCCTACCTTGTGCTTCAAGGTGGAAAACTATTCTTTGACTAGGGATGTGTTGGCATCACAATTACACCCGAAAAGTCCTGGTGCAGAGTATCACACTTCCCCTTTGGTAAGAAAGAGGAACTTTTCAGTATCATTCATAAGTTATTAAACCTCTACAGTCATTAACGAATGTTTTTATCAATCTAAATTAATAAAAGCTCGTATTAAATAACTTCGGTGGGGATGAAAAACAAACCAAACTTCTGACCACAATGTTTCAAAATATGTTTCCACCGATCAATGTGAAAACGGTAAATTTTATATTTTATTTTCTATGGAAAAATTTTATTTGCTTTTCTTAAAAAAAAAAAGAAACATCTTTTAGATGCAACTTTCTGAGGCACGTCGCGTTGTTCTATTCAGCTATAATATCGAAACAAAACAAATCGATTTCCGACACTACAGTATTATCGTAAAACCTGTAGGAATTAGTAAAAGTATAAAAAAAATAATTACTGGTGATAGTATGCCGGATCTTCATAACTTAAATGATATTAGCGAGTTCGTTTTAAAGTAAGTTTACTACTAGCAATAGGCGACTACCAAGAAAAATCACTCAAAATTATTTTCCTTTCTCATGTTGGATGATCTCCGAATTTTTCGTAGAGAAGGGCAAGTTTCGGAAAGTGAAGCAAGTGACGTCGAAGAGAGCATTGTCACGCTTGCAGAAGATTTTGTCGGGAGAAATAACAAAAAATCTGATCAGCGTGCTATAAGGTTGATAGAATTGGGTCCGAGGTTGTCGTTGAAATTGGTGAAGATTCAAAGTGGATTGTGTGATGGAGAAGTTTTATTTCATGAATTTAGTATGTTTGATGGCTTTTTCTGTTGGGATAATTCTGTAGCAAGCCGATTTACTTAACCAATTCGATACCATTATAAAAAGTATACAAAACTCCAGAAGAAATTAGAAAAATGGAACGTGAGCGTGAACAGCGAAAGCAATTGGCAGCTTTACGTCGTAAACAGCAAGAAGAGAATGTCGCAAAGAAAAAAGCTGAAAAAGAAGTTAAACAGCTTGCTACTGGCGGAAGACAACAAAAACGCGAAGGTAATTTTTTATGTTTCTGTTTTATATGGAACCATGATTTCTAATTAATTACGGATTTAATGATAGATACTCGGGCATCTAAGCAACAAAATGATGATAATTCAGATGGAGATGAAATTGAAAAAGTTCCTCCTGAACATTATGACGACGATGAAATTTCTGATGAGGATGAGGATGATTTAGATGATGAATTGTCAGATGTCGAATATGATTTTAAACAAAGCGATTATAATATGGACAATTTGTTTGATGAAGCTATAGGAAATGATGTTAGTAGTGTTAGTTATAGTAATGAATCAGAAAACGTTGATGAACAAATATCATCATCTAAACAAAAGAGGAAACATGCAACATCAATCGGAAAGCCCAAATTCGTGCTCAAAAATAAAAAACTGAGAAAATAAATGAATCTCCGAATATTTTTTATTCAGGTATTCAAGCATAAACACAAAAATATGTTTGAAAATGTCAGTCTTCGCTGAGACATGAAATTCATAATAGCTCGGTAAAGAAATACAGCCGAGATCAAGCATACAAACAATTTATAGTTCCTCTTCTGAAAACTCTAAATTTTCTCGTGATCGCTCTTCATCAGATTCAAGTTCATAATTTTCATCATTGTTATCTTCGGTCACCTCAGAAGCTTCTGGTGAATCGGGCACTTGCATGATTTCTGAAATCTCAGAAACTGCTATTTGTGATTCATGTTCATGAATTGCACCAGATGCTTCATCATCTGATCCTGTTGGTGAATTTAGCACCTCAATAGCCTCAGATTCACGCGGTGATGATGCTACAGTATCAGTCATTTCTTGTACTAAAGTAGCTGCTTCTGATGTTAGTGGAGATTCAGGATGAAATAGAGTAGTTGCTTCTGAGGCTTCTGGAGTATGTATCACTTCTAGTGGCTCTACTTCGGCAAATTCAATATTTTCGGGGATTTCAATTCCAGAAACTTTGGAATATTCTTCGATATCTATATATCATATTAATAATATAGATCAATCATAAACATGTTGGATCTGTTTAGTAGGAAAGAAAATTCAAATTTTATTACCGACCTATCGGTATCTTGTTCTTCAAGGCGTAATCAACCTTTTCTTTATTTTGTTTTGATTCCCGTTTATATTTAGCCTTAATCTGTTTACGATTTCTGTGAGGAAACATTTTCGCGATAATTCCAAAATCTGTCCCCCATTGAGAAAGGCCCTATTTTCAATTCATAAAGATCTTCAATAATAAGTCTAAGAAAACACATGTTCACAAATAAATATATCATCAATACTTTGAAAAATAATTCATTATCCTCTGGTGTCCATCTCATCGTTTTCTGGCGAGGTGGTAAATATGACAATGAATTGGTCAATCTGGTGAGATCGTTTTCTACTAAACGTCGTAAAGGAGCATTTGCTTCTTCACTTCGAGCAGTTGCCTCACGATCTACTTGCAAAGATTCAATGTCAAGCACAACTTTGCCATCAACACATCTTATTTGTGGTGCAATTGACCTAAGACCAATGATAATTATGTGGTTAATGAGAATGAAATATGGCAACCATTCATGTGTGTAAAAGTTTTCTTACGATTCTTGTATTTGCATTGAACGCACAAGAGTAATATTAGGATCGTTCAGCAGATCTTCATCCAATTCCTCTGCTTCATTATCTGTTGCTGCTTCTTCGATGGTTTCTGAAGGTTCATTATAATTTTCGAGTGATTCATTCTCATCCTCATTTTGATCTGGTGCAATATCTTCATAATCATCATCGTCATCATCAATTTCTCCCTCAGCAACAACATCATCATGGTCATTAGAATCATTTATCGCAGCATCATTCATGATTATTCTTTCTACTTCATCTTCATTATATTCATTTTCGATATTTGATGTCGAAGGAGCAACAGGAGACGTCACTCCGATATCTTGAAAATCTATAGAATTTTCATTATTTTCTTGAATCCCAACATCATTGTCATCTTCATTATTAGTGGGATCCATAGATGATGATGAAACGGATGCTCTTGCTGCTGCTGCCCTTGCTTTTCTTTCTTGTCTCTTTCGTTGAGCTTCCATATACTTTTTCTTTGCCAATTTCTTAAATTTACTTGATTTTCTTCCAACTTTTACATCTCTGCATAAATCTGCCATTTTGATTTCTGATAAATCCAACGGTTCCTCGTAAGGATCATCTTCCCAGGGAAGAATCTTTCTTTTTTTCCTGGGAATTTTGTTATTTTTTGTTTCTGACGAGACTCGTTTATTCATTGTCGTTGAGGAAGAAAAAAGATTATTATTTGGTGACAAGGATGACGACGAAGACGACGAAGTCTCTAATGAAACTTGGGTTTGTGAGACTCCTGCTTCATGACCTCCTGTTGATGCAACGACAGGAACATTTATTGTTGTTGGTTCACGTGAGGGTACAGGAATCGCGGTGCCTCTAGAATTAGACCCTTGAATAGGAATCGTGATGGGAGTTCCTCTTATACCAAACTTTGATTCTCGGGAGGGAACATCGATGAAAGATACTTTACGCGTAGACATTTTTTTACAGATGACAAAGTAGATTTTCGACCTGTTAAGTTATATTAAATACACGTGACATCAAATTGCTAGAAGATCAAATCTGCATACAATATATGCTAAATTTTTGCTTAATCCAAGATCACATTATAACTATACGCTGAAAAATTATATTAAATTAGTAAAAATACAAATTATAATTATCAATTCTCCTATCAAAGTATCATCTTGCAACGAAAATATCAGAATAGAACCTAAGAGTAAAATAGAAATTATAATAAGTAAAAATTTAAAAGAAAAGAGCTTTATAGCATTGTAAGATCACTCACTCGGAAACATCCATATTAGTCTTATATCTACGATGTATGTCGTCAATAAATTGTCGCCTTACCGCGTAGCTAAATAATTCAAATAAATAATTAAAAAATAGTTTAGGAATTTCATAGGATAGTAAATAAGTATAAAAACTTACGGTCTAGCACATGCCTCAGTGCACGCTCTACACGCGTGATGTGCTGATATTGTAGTATTTCGAACTAGCATTCCCAGCGCATGACGACTCACAATCATTCCATCTACTAACGGTCCAATATTCATAGGGTTCTCGGCTAACTTTGTGATTGCTGTCCAGATGTTTTTCCCTTTCCCTTGTTTTCGTTCACTATTATTATACTGAAAAGTACTTTGCATGATAATTCGTATCCAATATAATCCCGTTGCATTTTGTAAAGGATGCACAAATATATAAACTAGTCCTGATTTTTTTATCTTTTGAGATATGCTGTATATTCCGCAGATATCTTCTATCCACACTATAGAAACGTAATCATCCGCGGACACACGTTTGAATATTGACGTTGTAAGATCTGTAGTGTTAGAGGTAGGCCTCTGAATGAGATATGGAACGTTGAATATAAGCTCAATAGTTCTGTCGGCAAAATACGGAGCAGTTTTGCAAAGCGATGGTGTTAATTTTCCTTTGAATCCGGGATGAGTCTCTAAATCAACCTACATGGTATATATACCAGCAAAATAATTGAATAATAAAATAGTTATCGCAGAATGCTCAAAGAAATCAAATTACCGGCCACCCAAGACTATTCAGAAACTTTTCAAAATCTTCGCTTATCGCTTCAGGATTAACTATGTTTTCATATGATTCCTGGCCAGAACGTGCAAAAAAGACTGAAGCGCTTATACAATCTCGTCTAGTAATCAAATTTGGCTCGGATTGTTAAAGTTAACTATTTATGTTGAACAAAAATAGTATAATATTTACTCATGCATTTGATCTAGCGCCTCTAAATCCTTAATAAATTTTTCGGATATTCTCAAAGGAACAACTCGGTGCCGATTTTCCAAATTTAAAAGACCCGTTTGTGACATAAAAAGACGAAAAGCTTGGGGGCTGATATAGTCAAAACATGACGTTAAATTAGTAAAGTAATAGATATTCTCTAATTACAAGAATTAATACCTCTCTAAATTTGCATTTAATCGAGCTGGTTCGGCTTTAAAACTGAATTTTAGGCAAAAGAAAATAAATACGGAATTTTGCGAGTTTGAATTTGACTTATAATTCACCTTTGATTGAAAAGTTTTCCATGCTGCTTTCGCATGACATGCTCTTCTGCATTTATTTGTTTGAGCGTCAATTTCTTGATGATATTATAAGCTAGCCAACTTTCACTACCCTCTTTTAATATTTTGTCCATACTAGGTACATAATTGCTTTCGTTGAAAGCAAGTGTCTTTGGAACTTTTGCATGGCTTTTCGCTTCTTGAACATCAAATGATAAATAAGGTGGTGTGTTAGCTTGCAAAGCTGGTACAGAAGATGAAGAATGAATTGCAGGGTCGGAATGGTCAAAATCTTGATGAGAGGCTTTTGAATTATCATTATCAGAATCTAATTTTTTATATCGCATATGTGATGTCCAAGAATATTTGCCGGTGCTATCACGAATAACTATAATAACCGAGGGAGCTGCCACGGAATCATCTATTTCAGGATTAGAAAACTTTTGTTGATGAGCTGACGTTGGTGTAGCAAGTTCGTCGTCAACATTGAAAGAATCTGAATTTTTGGGTAGTTCTACAAATCCCAATATGAGGCGACCATCAATCAAAAAATAATGGACAAGTTCCGGTACTGAAACTCCATCAAATTCACGTGACTCAGAAATCTGAGTCATCGCTAGTTGCAAATCTTGATTGAATAAAGTGGAAATCCTGCTCGGGCCAATATTATCTGACCAGGAAGGGAAGTTACCCAGATGATTGATAATTTGAGTCATTGCAATTTCAGCTGCAATTTTTATGGCAACTTCCTCTTTTTTGCCTTGTTGCATTTGTATACCGTTATTCGCTATGTTTTCATTGCTTGAGGAAGCCGATTTAATATTACGAGGAAGAAAAAGTTTATTGGGAGTTGCATCTTTACGATTCTTTTTCTTTTCTGAATTCGCAGAAAGATTCGAGGCTTCGTCTTCGTGCAATCCAATGGATATTCCTCGACTAATTGTTGAAATTACCGCTTCGTAACAATCATGATCTCCAACAATCCACTGCCCAATGAGTATCCAATGAACCATACAATCATAAGCGAGTTCAATTAAAGGGTAATTTATTGACTATTTAATATAGAAAGTTTTATCTTATTAAAATTATCTTCCAAGTCAATGAAAAGCCAATAAACCAAAAAGAAGTTTTTTACCAATCCTCCATACCCGCCATTAAGTAATGTATCGATGTAACGTGAAAACGCTAATACTAATTCTCTGGCACAATTCTGCAGATTAAAGCGTCAGTGTGATTCATAAATTAAATAAATGAAAATACATCACAAATAAGATTCCATATCTTACCTTGTTATCCCTTTGTATAAAGTCATATAATCCAACAAAATCTTTTAAGACGTTAAATGCATACAAGGTTACATCTGATGGTAGAGTCATCGTCAAAACCTTTGGAATTTTTTATTTTTATTCATTTTAGATTTTTTACGTAATGAAAATACAAAGCTTCTAATAAATATCTCACACCTTTTCTTGAATAGTCTTGACTACTAAACCGACTAAACCCGGACAAAAAACTACATCTTCAACAACATAAACGTCAATTAAATGAAGAAGATAACGAAGATTGTAGGAAGATTTGTCGGTTTTAAGTGAAGTAAGAAGCAATTCTAGAATATAGAATTTCAGCTGAAAGAAACTGTGTTAATTGGCTCTATCGGAATTAATATAATACAAAAATATATTAATAAATCAATTACGTACAGCTGTAAAAGGTTCTGTTGAAGGTTGATTTTGTTTATTATCTCGAAGATCTTCCTCTGAATATAATACACGGATCTGTGAAGAAAACGTGTTTAGAATCTTTACAAAATAAAACATGTCGAAATGAGAATTAACTGGAAACCTGACCACATCATTAACAACTACTTCATCTGAATCATTAACCAATGTCTTATCACCATTTTGATGTATTCCACTTGCCCAATTCTCTTTTAGTGATACCCTCTCAAAATGATTCGGCAAACACATTATTGTGCTGGCGACTTTAATTGCAGCTAATCTCAAATCATCGAGTGGTATCTTTGTATGGAAATTTGATGCGAGTTTTGGCAATATCATTTTTATGCCGACCACAAAATCAGGCACCATCATTCTCACGCCTTCGAGCTCAGTCGCGAAAAGTGAATCAGTGTTCATCAGTATAACGGGGAGACAACTAGAAGAACGCAAGCCTTCAGATAAAGCACGATAAAATTGCGTGATATAATTTCGCAAAAATTTCTGTCGCCGTTCAGTTGAGCAAAATATTTTACATAGGATACCATATGCAGTGGCTCTTCCTTGCTGTATATCAGGATCGGAATTGTTTATGGCACATGCTTCAAAAAGCCATTTACCAAACATGTTTAATAGAGTATTTCCATCGGGTATAGTAGAAAATAATCCTTGATTCGAACTTTCTTTTTGATGTGCCTTTTGAGATACCGAATTTCCGATGGATTGAAAAGCGTCAATGATTCTTCCGATCCCCATAATTGATAATGCAAGATTCGAAGGGGGTAATGCACACGGATGGTCTATGAGGTAAATTATGCGATACCAAGCATAATACACAAACTCTGTCGGAAGATCTAATCCAACATTGTATCCACCAACAGATATGCTCACCATATCTGCCCCTTCTCTTGGACCATAAAGTAATCTAGCGACACGTTGAGTCAACGCTAACGTGGTAGCGTTCCATTGATGAATAGTTTGTAATCGATGAGTCCATAAATTAAAACATTTTTTAAAAATATTCCACATTTCAACATTTCGAATTCTAGATCTTAACCACAACTCAAAAAGTACTCGTAATAAATGTTCACATAATTCATCACCCATGGTTGTTGAGGGATCTCGTAGCAGACAATCAGTGACTCCGAGCACGACTTTTAAAAGAACGAGCCAAGTCTCTTCAGAGAATTGTGAGCCGAGTGTACGCCCAGCCATAGTCAATACAATTAATACACCTTTGCAGAGTTCTATGTGTCGTTGTATATATGTATAATTGGACGATGTTTGATTAACAGCAGCGGGAAATCCTGGAGTAGTCGGTGTAGGGGCTTGAGGTGGATTTGTAGTGGGAGTACGAGGTTGAAAGAGTAGCGAGTAATGATGAAATATTACCTGATAATCAATTCAATATTTTAGATATAAAATTGATGATGACCATTCCAATCATAATAATAATGAATTATATATAATGAATATGACCTGCCAAAACTTTTGTTCTTCTGGCTTTCCAGTAAGATCACGAATTGCAGCCGGTCTAAAATTCGGCTCAAACAACCATTGCGAATATAATTCTTTAGAATTTGCGGTGATTGCCATCTCTTCTAAGGGCAAAGCGAACCCTTGACCAATTGCCTCCATAACCCAACGTACATGAGTTGGCGAGGATAAAAGATTTGGATCATGTGCCTGTAAAAGTGTCTGTGTTATCTCAGAGATGAGCACTTTTCTCACACTAAGAGGAAAGTTGCCAAGAACATCGCTTTCTATGAAGAATTTATTTGATTTTTATTTTAATTAAATTTTTATTATTAAATACATTTTATTATTGCATGACTTATTATCTTTGTCGAAAGTATCAAATTTAAATACACCAAAATAATACATCTGATTTGAACCATACCAGGGTTGTGTTGAAGTAGCCCTATATGGGATATCCATTTCAAAAACATGAGGCAAGACAAACTGCGAATTAAACAAAACCAGATATTATACACAGTAGACCTCTCTAATTCGAACCCTCCCTAAGAAGAAACCTCTTTATATCGACAAAATTTGGCTGCACAAAACATATAGGTGTATAAAGAAAAAAATCCTCAGTCGAAATTAGAGTCCAAGTCGATTTATTATTGTTTAGAGTTATATACAGTGGACACTTAAATACGCTAATCACGTGACTTTAAGGTATTCGGTGCACTATGTAGATCAAATCTATGTATAGTCCAATATTGAAAATAATACCGATTTTTTTGTGAAATTGATAATCAATGTTTAGTGAGCAAAAAATTTTTGACATAAATCAAGAAATATTTTGGTCGCTTTTTCTTCTCCAAATATTGTCAGATTGCTTTCTTTTTGATGTTTTACATGAACTTTCGACAGTTTCGAAGTGATATTTTCTTTGTCTATATCTCCAAACAAAAGTTGTAGCTTTGCTTGCTTCATATTAGTGTCACACTTGGATGAATTTTCAAATCTAACTTGTTAAAAAGTCCTTCTAATGGATTATAATAAAATAAACTTGTTCTTTAACAAATCTATACAACAATGGAAATTCATGAATTTTAGAATCAGAAGCCAAGCAGAATTTCTAAATTCCACATAATTTAATAGTTCTTCTTGAAGATCAAATGTATTATTAAATGTCTTGAAATCATTGTATAGTTGATTTACAGTTTCATATTCAGTTGATTCCAAAAGTTATGACGTTTACAAAGCAATATAATAAAATATTTGTGCAAATTCATAACTGGAATTTTCATCCAATTAGCATAATAATAAATAATTCATGGAGTCATTCATTTTAGAAAAAGTTCATATGCTTTATTCATTCTCTGTTTTAAATTATTAAAAAATTCATTAAAATTTTCATTATTTAGAAATTTGAGGGTTGTTAACAGTTTTTGATTAAAAAAAATATCAAAATTTTTCTTGAATTCACATAAAAACTCAATTCACTTACTTATCTTATCAGGTATTTCATGAGCATATTAGCCAGATGGAAGTTAAATCAAATTGTTATCTAATCAAATATGATATATGGAATTTTTTTCAGTTATAAAGTATTTATTAAATGTAATTAAATACTAAACTTGAATATTTAATTTTTCATTTAAGAATCAATTCCTAAATAAGTGCCAATTAGAAAGATATAATACTAATATTTTTGAGTATTTGAATAAATCAATTTGCAAATTCTATATGTGCTTTATATCAGTCTAAATATTGGTTTGCTAAATATAATTCATATTTTTAATGATTTCAAATTTGTAATTGATATTAAGAGAAATGATATCCTAATAATCTGTTATAAAGTTTTTGAATTTAATCAAATTTTATATTAAAAGACTTGTCTTTATTACTTGAATTATATCTGTTATAAAAATGCCAGACCAAGTATAATAGATTAAATAGTTATGATTTTCTTGAAAATCCAATTGACAAAGATAATTTTTTAAAAGCTTCTTTTTCAAAATTCAAAAAAATTATATATATTATATATTGTTACCGTTGTGACATGTTATATGTTATTTAGCTATTTGTTGACACGGTTATACAAAAGTCCAAGATGGTGAGTATAACGTCATTACCAGAAGGAGTTCAACATCTATCTATAATAATAATATTTCTCTCACATGATAATAGTATTTGATAAAGAACAATGATTATTAAGAATCTAATTGGTTTTTATTAAGAAATTTTAATTGGTTCTCTATTATAAATTAGATTTATGTCGTAATACATGCTTAA